TCGAAGTCACAATTTATTGCAGTACAATTATTAACATGCAGTTCTAATTTAACCAATGAATAAAATAGGATAGCCAAATAAGTAGCTATTGTAATTTAATTTACTTTATTTGCCCTATATTTTATCAATGTTCGCAATTTAATAAATCAAAATTGTCAAATGCTCACGCTAGTTCCAAAATTTAGGAATAATCTCTTCTAATTAACATGGCATTTTTAAAAATTTGAATTTAAAATTACCCATCATGCCTCGCAAGGTTCATCCGGTAACTAAAATTAAAAATTTTCTAACTCTTTTTATATTGTAATAATACAATTTTGCAAAATTAATTTTAACAATTATTTAATTCAATTTTTTAGCGTTGGCTGATAATATTTTCAAAAATCGATAGGTAAAGAGTCAAGAATATTTCCAGAAGGTTAAGATGAGTGCCAATCAGAAGAGAGTAATTTGACTCGGCTCGTTTTCATTGGAAGAACTATAGAATATTCTAGACGCTCCTTTTCGTCATCGTATATAATCGGCCATAACTGAAATTTCACCGATTTGGTTTTATAGTTTTGTAGCGTCCACATCAGTAATAGTAAATTTCAAGTTTTGTCTGCAATAATCTAAAAAAATCCTAAAAGTAAGTATATTTTTTCATTAAAACGATCCAGAAACCTTTTAACAGTGATAATTCTGTTGTTTGAGTAATTTTCTTTGTCAAAAATCTAATAAAGAGATTGTCACGTGGTGATTTCTGGAATTTCATATAAAATTGTGTAAAATTATACTCTTTTATATAAAAGTAAAGGTAAATTAAGTCGTTTTAGGTAATATTTCATTATATTTGGGAACGTGGAGATAATTTTTTACTAAATTAGTGTTCTTTTTTTTATAGATGGCCAAAGCTCCTGCAGTAGGTATCGATCTCGGCACAACATACTCCTGTGTAGGAGTTTTTCAACATGGAAAAGTGGAAATCATCGCAAACGATCAAGGAAATCGTACAACACCGTCATACGTTGCATTTACCGATACAGAACGTCTCATTGGAGATGCCGCTAAAAACCAAGTTGCTATGAACCCAAATAATACTATTTTTGGTAAGTTGCAATTATCGATTTCTCACAAGATTTTTATAAAAATATCCTTGCCTTTGTACCAAGGTTAAACCATCTATAATAACTGATATGAAAGTATGCTGTTCAGCGCGTGGCTTTCGAGTAAACCGTGACGTCATTCATGACTTGGAAAAAACCAATAACTTATGAGCAATATTCTGCAAGGTTTCATTCATTATTTGATCAAGTTTTTGCTTTGAAAGGAATTGAGTTGATTTGAATTTGATGGTCACCCTTGTATTTATTCATGATTCAATTGTATTTAGGTATCTTCATATAAGGCATCACTTCAATGCCTGCCGATTTTAAATAATTACGATTTTAGTAATATTATGTTCCAAAATGAAAAGGAAAGATATCTTTATGCTTATGGAGGTTTCTATTTTTTCATAAATGTATTGAATTGATGTAAAGAGTATATATCAATAATAAAGTTTGTACAAAACAGCAGAGGTAAAGATATTGATCTTTTTAGTAACAGATTTAATTATACTTGCAAACATTTTTCTTATATTTCATTAAAATACTGAGTAAAATTGTTTAAAAGAATTTCCCAATGGTAGGTATTTATTAATTTAAAGTTGAAGGTTATTGATTCATACTTTGTTGATTAAATATTGGTGTTAATTAAACTTCAACAGATGTGTTTTAAGGCTATATTTTTCTATCATACTTCGTTGTTTATACTATGATGAAACCTAATTTTATATGCCAGAACTAGAGTCTATGAAAGTTGTGATTACTTTATAATCTGAAAGCAAAACTTCTTTATTATTTAATGCCAAGCTTAATTTTGAAGGTTTCTTATGTTTTGTATTACTTGTTTCAGATGCTAAGCGTTTGATTGGTAGACGTTTTGATGACCCAGCTGTTCAAAATGACATGAAACACTGGCCCTTCGAAGTTATCAATGACAATGGCAAACCAAAGATTCAAGTCAACTACAAAGGAGAAAATAAGAGCTTCTTCCCAGAAGAAATTAGTTCAATGGTCTTGACTAAAATGAAGGAAACAGCAGAAGCATATTTAGGCAAAACCGTAACAAATGCTGTAGTCACTGTTCCAGCCTATTTCAATGATTCCCAACGTCAAGCAACCAAGGATGCTGGAACCATTTCTGGACTTCACGTTCTTCGTATCATCAACGAACCAACAGCCGCTGCAATTGCTTACGGTCTCGACAAGAAGGGAGTCGGGGAGAGAAACGTTCTCATTTTTGATTTGGGTGGGGGTACTTTTGATGTATCCATCTTGACTATCGAAGATGGTATCTTTGAAGTGAAGAGTACGGCAGGTGACACCCATTTGGGCGGTGAAGACTTTGATAACCGTATGGTCAACCACTTCGTTCAAGAATTCAAGCGCAAGTACAAAAAAGATCTTACAACTAATAAGAGGGCTTTGAGAAGATTGAGGACGGCTTGTGAAAGGGCTAAGCGTACCCTATCTTCATCCACTCAAGCTAGCATTGAAATCGATTCCTTATTTGAAGGTATCGATTTCTACACATCCATCACTAGAGCTCGTTTTGAAGAATTGAATGCTGACTTGTTCCGTTCCACCATGGAACCTGTAGAAAAAGCCTTGAGAGACGCCAAGATGGATAAAGCCCAAATTCACGACATCGTCCTTGTCGGTGGTTCCACCCGTATCCCTAAAGTTCAAAAGCTGCTTCAAGATTTCTTCAATGGCAAAGAGCTCAACAAATCAATCAATCCAGATGAAGCTGTAGCATACGGAGCCGCTGTACAAGCTGCCATCTTACATGGTGACAAGTCCGAAGAAGTTCAAGATCTGCTTTTACTCGACGTCACACCTTTATCTTTGGGTATTGAAACTGCTGGTGGTGTAATGACCCCATTAATCAAAAGAAACACCACAATCCCAACCAAACAAACTCAAACATTTACAACTTACTCCGACAATCAACCCGGTGTACTTATTCAAGTTTATGAGGGCGAACGTGCCATGACTAAAGACAACAACCTCTTGGGTAAATTTGAACTTACCGGCATTCCGCCAGCACCCCGGGGAGTTCCTCAAATCGAAGTCACCTTCGACATCGATGCGAATGGTATCCTGAATGTAAGCGCCATTGAAAAATCGACCAATAAAGAGAATAAGATCACCATCACCAATGATAAAGGTCGATTGAGCAAGGAAGATATTGAAAGAATGGTTAATGAAGCTGAGAAGTATAGAAGTGAAGACGAAACCCAAAGACACACTATCGCCGCCAAAAATGCTTTGGAATCCTACTGTTTCAACATCAAGAGTACAATTGAAGACGAGAAATTGAAAGACAAAATGAGTGATTCTGATAAACAAACTGTTTTGGAAAAATGTAATGAAGTAATTGCTTGGCTAGATGCTAATCAATTGGCTCAGAAAGAAGAATATGAACATAAACAAAAAGAGCTTGAAGGTGTCTGCAATCCAATTATCACTAAGTTGTATCAAGGAGCTGGTGGTGGTCCCCCACCAAATTTTGCAGCTGGGGGAGCCGCCCCTGGAGCCGGAGCAGCTCCTGGTGCAGGAGGTGCTGGACCAACCATCGAAGAAGTTGATTAAATCAAATAATAAAAAAAAGAGGGTTGTAAAAGTCGTTCATTCCGGTTTGTTTACAGTATTATTGCAGCCAATTTGTAGTTTCTTACTGTGAAGCAAAACGTGATTGTTTTGCTTCTTGAAGTATTGTTTGTTATCGGGTTTTCACTTTTTAACTACAGTTCAGTTGTTAGTTTATGCCTTTGGTAAAAATAAATTTCTTGTTTTTATTTACAACCATTGAAAACAATAAATCAAATCCATTCATTCTTTTGAGTTTTAGTTATGTCTTTTTTACTGCATATTTCAAAACATTAGAAATTATAAAAATTTAATGCTTTATAAGTAAAAGGTTGACTGTAATGTAACACCTCATTTTCAACAGAAGTTTTTATATTGTTTATAAGTGTTTATATAATGAGTTTCAGTTTTAGTGTAATGAAATTGCCTGAAATTTAAAAGATGTTGAATTTCCTATGAAGTTTATAATATGTATAAACCCATATTTTTTGTTGATACAAAATAGTGTTATATTGCCTAATTTGTGTATATATATTGAGGGTGTAATTCAAAAATAGAAACAGAATGTTGAGTAGAGGTAAGTTTCTCTTATTTACTCTTCAATTTCACAGTCTTTTTATTGAAGTATGTGCATAATGTTATGCTTGAACGGTAATGAATTGGTAAAATTTTATAGTTAAACACATTAGAAAAGTGTATTTGGTTTGGTATGTTTTGTTACTTTGTTTCCTCAACCGTAGAAATAAAAGTACTTGTAGTAATCTGTACGTCAATTATCATCTGGCAGTTTGTTAATAATAAGATTTATGTAGTTCTGTATAGATGTCGCCTGAATGCAACCTGTCAGTGTGGTGTTGTCTGTTGTGAAAATGGTTATGTTGTTCTGTTTTTAGGTTGTTGGTGGATAGTACTACATGCGGACTTGTTGACGTAGGAGTTCGTTAATTTCTAATCGGCAACTTGCTTTTTAGTTCTGGTAGTTTTAAAATGCGAACCGGAACAACGTGTGTGTTAAAAACATGGTAGCGTGATAGTGCTAATTAAATGTACTCAAAAAAGGATTACATTAATTTAACCATGAAATTTGGAATCCCATACCTAGGTAAGATGAACTCATTCTGTTTGCATACATTGAGGAAGTTGGGTGACACCTGTTTCAAAAATTGCGGTATATTAGTCAACGTATTTTACGTTGTTTTTAAATGTATATACGTTTTGTGTATCAAATTTTTATAACACAATTTCCTTTTATTAATTCAACGTAGATACTGACTACTTAACGTAAATTGTTACCTACTATAGAAGGTAATCATAAGTAAATACATTACAAATTGCACATTTAAAACAGTCTGTTTAGCAATACGTATAGCTTTACGTTAGTTACCCATGTTTTGTAAAACATTTGTTTACGTTTATTGTTATAATGGGTAGTGCAACTTCAACATTATCTTATGATTAGCTATTCCTTTAGTCACTTATCAGACAGCAATTAAATGTTTCCTTAAAGAAAATGATAATTTATACCAAGGGGAATGCGTTTTTACACCTATGTTTATTTATACTACTATCATGAGCGAAGGAGTTGAAAATGTTATTAATCTTATCACCCTACTAAAACAATATGCATATTATTGATATTCCATTGCCACTACTAAGCAAGATGGATTGTTTAATTAATAAATTCTTGATTAATAAAATTATCTGCTGTACCTACGTACATGTTTTAAATATTGTAGGTGTATTATAATAATAATTATTATTGATAATTTAGAATTGTTATGCTTAACAGAATAAGTAGTATTAGTTGTTTAAAACTTTAAACTGTTCAATTAATTTTATGCTACACAATAATATGTAACTAGTAATAAGAGGTAATAAACTACGATTAGCTTACGATAGTACCCATTTTATAAACTTTTTGATTTGTTCAACAGGGTAACTAGATATAATTAATATTTTAGTTTTTAAGTATCTACTTAAGTGTTTTAAACCTTAACTATGTAATTTTGAGCATTTCCGTTCATATTTTAAATACCGTAGTGGCTGGAGAGTTGTTAACGGCTCTTAATGAAAAAACCGGGAAAATGCCTGTGACGTCATATAATGACCCTGATAGGTGGTTATGTATTAGTACTGGCCCAGTGCTTTCTTCTTAACTTGTTTATTGTTTACTAATTTCTTTTTGGTGGATACGTTTAGAATCATAAGATAAGAAAGAACACTTAGTAGGTACTTCGTTAGTGTTGTCGTTTCGATTTCCAACCTCAGGTTCCCCTTTTTGGCAGCATTGTAATATTGGAATACTTCATGAGGGGAGTTTAGGTTGCCCTAATTCATCAAATTATATAATTAAAAATTTAATCAAGGAACACATATAGCGTCATGATCAAAAGATATTTTTCTGTAGTGACACAAAATTCTCAGGCGTCTCAGCAAGTCGACAATGTGCTGAGGTGGAAAATGCCATTATATGACGTTACGGACTTTTTTTGTTGTTTTTCCTTGAAGACGGGAAATCTTCAAAAGACACCCCCTGATGGTAGGGGGAGTAGTGTCGGATTTGCCGAAGCTCCTACCAACTATGGTAAACCCCCTCCTCGAGTAGGGAGATCAACCCGGAGATTTTACATCCCAGGAAAGGTTCTGTGGGAATGGATACGGAAGGGGAAGGAGATTGAGTGTGGGCGAGGGGTGATTTGTGGGAGAAAGGTGATAAAGAGAGAGACTCAGTGGCCCACCTGGGGCATTCGCGATAAAAAATTAAACACGTTATGGGCTTTTCCCAGCTCATTATCAAGAGCCGTTAATGGCTCTCTAGCAACAACCTTTAAATTTAAATATTCATAAAATATAACATAAAACGAACCAAGGCAATCGTAATATTTGAACATTCTGTATACATATAACATGAAGCCCCCTTGCATGAATACAAATTTGCATGACAATGACAGTGTGCGGAAACAATAAGAAACGTTAGTTTCCTCTTTTATCCTTCTTTCAAGAAATCGTCAAATGGTTGTTCTATGTTCTTGAAAGAGTTACCAACGGATTTGAGGTCATTTGTTTTGTTCAAATAACAAAAACAACCAGCACATTTATTAATGTCGAAATTACACTTATGCCATTTACAGCAACACTTATATTTCATAATAGAAGACCTGAATTGGTCTTGGTTTATAAATGACAAAATCTCCTCGTAACCTACGCCTAAAATAAAAATTAAGACTGGACCATTTTTTTTTGTGGCTTTGTCAACAATAAATTACTTATCAAATAATATGTATACGCAATACAGGAACTAAACTAATCAATTAATTAATATATTTCGCAACGCGGCTGTATTTGACGCTAAAATAAACATGTTACAATTAACTTTTAAACATTTGTCTTGTAAATTTTCAAAAATTGCTGGTTAAAGTGTCTGTTCACTTTTACGTTTATGCTTTCTATTTACGAATAAAATTAGTAACGATAATTTTATTCAATGATGAAGCAACTTTAATTTACTTTTGGTAATAAAATCAGTAAATAGAATAGAATGGGGTATCATTGAAAACGTTCTTCGATTTCCGTTAGAAAGGTGTACTTTTTGCAGAAATTCCTTCAGAACTGTCTACTGTATTTAATAGGTGGGGGGGGGTCAAGATTTTGTGACGTATTTTAGGTATTTGGACTACCTAAAAATTCGAAAAACACGTTTGGAATATTGTATTAATTTTCGAGAAATTTTGTCGAAATAATCAATGTCTGCGGAAACCTATCGTCTACGATCTGACATAATCTTTTGATAAATAGTTTTATTTTTGCTTTATTAAAATTGAGGCAAAAACCAAATACTTACAATTAAACCTTGAATTATTTTAAAAATAGATTTTTAAAAAGTGCAGCGTGAATAACTCGAGGTGAAAAGCAGCATAATAAAATACTAAATAATAAATTAGTTTTCATTTTATATGAATAAGTCAGCAGATACAAGTTTCTTAAGTTTATTATTATCTTTTAAATTATTAATATAGTTTTGATTATCTTAAAAAGCGTTTAACTTTCTCCATTTATACGCCCGATTATCTTTTTAATAACATTTAACGGTATATCTGTCGTAGTCAATGTGTAAGATTTGACATATTAAAGTACGACTAAGTAATAAAGTTTTTATTTCGCGGTTAACAAAATGTTTAGCCGGATTGTCAAATATGTATTGTATATGGTATAAGGGTAGTTGACATACAGTTTAAAACAAATATTTTTCAACTTTGCTATGTTGTGATGTAAAGTTCTTTGATTAGTACACCACATACAACTGCTTTCCAATTAGGGCTAAAATGATACTTAACGTATGTGCATACATAATTATTAATTAATTAACGAATATTAAGTTCTTGGCTAGTAATTTAGCAAAACTGCCACGCGTAAATAGGATGAAGAGCAGAGGATCGTGGTGGAACCCCTGAGGAACGCCCCAGATCAAACAGAAGGCAACAAATATGTCTCAATGAAGGCAGTTGATATAAAGTCGTGGTATATATATATGTGTGTTCTTTGGTAACTTACATAAGCTTTGTCATGGATTTAATTTGGCAATCAGATACATACTTTCGTAAGGCCCTTGCTGAATATATTTAAACTCGTAGAATTTTACATGCATATGCCAATTAGAAATCTTCTCTCACTATTACCTAACTTAAGACCAAGCTACATATCACTTCATACGTGTCAATCAGGGAGTCCCCTCTCACCATTACCTAACGTAATCACAAAATCTCACCATACGTCAAAATATTCGTGATTATAACTTCCGATTAAAAGACATTATCCTGATTATCGAAAATAGGCCTTAAATACAGTCACACCCTTTTAGTAGCATATTATTCCAATTTTTCTCGTTAGTGGAGAAGTAGAAGTTCTACGGTACTTATGTCGTTTCTGTTTTTAATACCAAATTGCTGTTATGATATTAAAAAGAGAAAATGATTCAATTTTTAACTTTAAAAATACAAATGGCGTGCTATACAATTCATAATATGAGTAATTAAATTGAATAAGTCGTTGCATAGTTTTCTTATTGGCCTAGTCGTATTACAAAATGCCAGATTTGTCAGATTGTCTACAACATATCAATTATAAATTGCCTATAAGCAATACAAAGGTTATTTCTTTTTTTGGAAGTATTCGTTCAAGTAAGACTTTTGCAATAGCACATGAATAATTATTTCGCAGTTTTTGCGCAAATTGTTTTTACCAAATAGTCTTTGCTCATAATCCATGAAATGACCTGTTTAAAAAATGTACAAATTGGAGATATATGAAGCAACATCACCTCAATGTTTAGGAAATCGAATTATTTTTATTTGGTTACAAATTAATTATCTAGGTATATATTAATTGCCTATTGACGATTTGTATAATTGCAAAATAAACATTACGTTGTAGAAAAGCTAATTAACGGTTTAAAAGTAAACACTAAAATAGATAATGAAAAGAAATACCTATAAAAAGGGTTATGTGCTGAGGTGGANCTAGCAAGAGTGGTCCGTAAGTGGATAAGTACCATCTTGTGGTGGTTTGAGAGACACTTTTAATCCGATTGTTATGCACTTAATTGAGGTTCCATAAAATAATGGAGTACGGTTAAAATAAGGTCTAAATCTAAAAGTGTGAGTTTTTAAGGAACACAATGCCATCTGTGGAGAAACACTTAGTTGTAGTGTGAATGGGATATTTTTACAGTAGAAGCTCGTATGTTTCACTTAATTAACTGTGGCACAAACAGTAAAAATTAAACTAAAAAGCGATATACTTGAAAGTAATTTATGTCAAACGGTTAATTGGTTGGAATTCATTATATACACAAGTACATACTAATTTATAAACTTCAACAAATTTTTATTACACTTAACAATATTGTTTCGTAGTTGCAGTATAATTTCTAAAGGAGTCAACGTTTGTCGAAATACGATTGTAAAGTGTCATAAAAATATAGTGAATTTTATAAATTTATGTTTATTATCAAAAATTATTTTATTTATGTGAATGGTATAAAAACGTTTTATATTATATTAGTTAATTCCTTAACATCAATTTGTCTGGTGCTCTTTATAGACTTAAAACATGAACATTATTTTTTGGCTATTCAGTTTCTTTATAAGTTGAAGAATTTTTGTTGTTTTAATTAGTAACAGTGAAAACAATTCACCAAAAAAAGTGCACAAATGTGTCACATAATCTAATAAATGCATCTCATGATTTCTATACGTATAGTGTAACATAGTCATCAAAATCTACTTAGATACTTACGAGGGCGGTTCAATAAGTACCCGTGTTTGAAGATAGAGGACGTTCCTGAGGGAAATTGGTGTTGTCATCGTGTGCTGCCATCTATCAAACCACGCCAAAACGAATTTCAGACTGATTGATAGATTAGTTTGGATTTGGCAGCCATTCGACTGAGACGTGTTTCGTTATTTTCGCTAAGATGGAGAAAGAGCAGTATCGTTCGGTAACTCGCTTTTTGTTTTTGGATGGGAAAAAATGCGAGGAGATGAAAACAAAGTTGGATACTGTATATGGAGGCATTTCGCCATCTACGACCACAGTTAGATATTGCTTCGACGAATTTAAACGTGGGCAAAGATCCGTTTTTGATAGGAGCGACCAGGAAGCCTGGCAAACGTTGTTACCGAGGAAATCATTTTACGGATTTTTTAGGAAAAGGAAGAACTATCACTGGACAATACTACAGTGAGTTATTGGACCGCTTCGACAAAAAATTGAAGGAGACACGGACGCATTTGACGAAAAAGAGGGTGCGTTTTCAACACGATAACGCATCGGCACATTTATCAGGAGTTGTTGCCGCCAAAATGTACGAATTACGTTATGAATTTGCTGCCGCACACCCCGTACTCACTCGATTTGACTCCCTGCGACTTCACCTTGTTCCTTACCATAAAGAAATGACTAGCGAGAAATAAATTTAGCTCAAACGAGGAAATCATCGCCGAGACAAGGGGGATTTTGGAGAGTTCGACAAATCTTATTTTTTGGAGGGGTAAAAAAAATGGCAGGGTCGTTGGGAGAAGTGTATCTTTCTGAAAGGGGACTATGTTGAAGCCCCAGCATTTGCCTAACTGATCCAAGGAAACCACAGAAAAACTTGGACCAAGGCAGACGGACCCGGAATCGAACCGGCGTCCTCCCGAATGCTAAGCAATGGTCTAAACCTCTAGGTCATGCCGCTCGGTTTTGGTAAAAGGAGAGAGAGAAAGAGGCTTGCCCCAGTTTACCGCAACAATCATTTAGCGAATACAATTTTCGCGCTTCCATGGGCATTATCAATGCGAGGCTATAGTGTCCACAAAAAAAGATGGGCGATCCACGTGTCTACCATACAAGAGTCCCCTCAATGAAGTTTATTGTGGTACCTGCATTGGGGGAGTCTATCTGTTTCCATTTATTTAATTCATTTCTGTACTGAGTGAACACTTATTTCACCCATCTCAAAATGGGCATCATCAGCGCGAGGCTATGGTGCCCTAATAAGAGATGAAACACGTGTCTGTCTATAGAGATGTTGAGTTCATTGCGGTACATTGATGGAGTCTCTGTTTCATTTCTTGTATTAACCAACTTGTAATAATTATTTTCTTATTTAACTACGTAACTATATTAATTGTAATCTTATTGTTAGTATTTGTTATGTTTAAAATAATTTGTTTGTTCTTTTGTATTAAATATTCCCAGATAATATTGTATTATTAAATTTTGTCATTACTAAGTTCCTGTAAAAAGTTCTCACGCTATTGTTATAAACTTCTTTCTACTTTTTTGCATTTTTCTTCATGGTTTTTCTTCATGCATATACCAATATGAAGTCGCCTTTATTCTTATTAATAAGACTCTTTCTTTACCTGAAAAATTGGTCTCTGACTCATTCATAGAGGCACCAAGAGCATTATAAGAAATCGGTGTCGTAAGCCCATTCAAAAACCAACGTGGGTACGGTGACCTTTGGTAAACTGACTATACGAACAATACTTCGTATATGACTAGACACTTTCAGGTTTAGTCACCAATAGAATTATAAATTTATATGTGAAATTACAGTATAATCAAAAGCTAAAATAAATAAAGAACAAAATTGTAACACATAATTACTTTTAATAAAACAAACTAAAACTTAATTGAAAAGATTACAACTCTGTTTCACCTCACAGAGGCATTTTCAGAAGCTGAGGGGTATATAAAATTGATTATAGGTGCAGTATTAAGTGTAATTTAACGTCTAAGATATTTATTTTTTTACCTATTTAATGTATACAATTTTAACGTTATCTTTTATATCAAAATTGTTTGATTTCTATTACATGGATTGTGAAGGTACAGTTTTGATTATTGTTTTAATATGTTCATTTTTTCTGTATTTCAATGCTCTTCCTGCCTGTCCTATGTATAAACGATTTACAATCGTTATTACTGTTTAATTTATATACAACAAGCTCTTATTTCTTACATTCTCTCTTTTTTTGTATTCACATAATATATAGCAACATTAAATTTCCTAAAAATTTACAGTTATGATGCATTTATGCCCGTTGATTGCATTCACTATACGTAAATAAATAAACGTTTATAAAATGTTATGCAATCTTAAAACCGCTTCAAAATGATTACTGGAATGATCCACTTAAAAAGAAACTGCTTACCTATGTATGTACCTAGTTAAACCGTTAAATTTAATTATTTTGCTGGAATTGTATTCATTAACTTTATTACTATTTTCTGTCTGCATACCAACTAAATAAAGTAATAAGATCTAATAAGACTGTGAGATATAACAGGAAACTGGATTTAAAAGCCACAGCTTGGTATGTAGTATATAAATTTCTAATATTACACCAATAAATAAAATAATCAGAAATGCAATGATTTGTAAGTCTTATACGAAGAGTGAAATTTAATTAACTTTTAAAGCAAAGAAAAACAACATTTCCGTAAGTGTTTCTTGTTAACTACAAGATTATGAAACCTTCTATAATCCACTCTTCGAATAAATACATGGAAATAGTAAAATTTTATTTTGGTCCACAATCATTGACCTCTTATCTTTTGAAAAATTTATTCTAAAAGGTGAGGAATGAAACATCATAAAAAAAGTATTGTGATATATGAAGATGCGTATAATAATAAAAATCATTTATGAATGTTGCCATTAAGGCATGCAAAAAGGTAAAAAAAAGGTGTAACTTTCGTCGGGAATGGAACCCCGAACCAGTAGGTAGGGCAATTGCAAATTGCACGTAGATACCTTCTTAAAGCTCTTCAAACAAATGAAATACTACAATTACTAGTAAATATCGGTAGATGGCAACATACGTCCAATGACTTAATATGATATCAACTTTCAAAGTGATAATAGTATTTTCATGCACATTTTTAGTCATAAATTAAAGAGTATATGCTCAGCTAAGCAACTGTGGTATACTAATTTACCATAAGGGGCCATTTTTGTTATAGATTCGTACAAATATAATACCTACCATGTATTTTGTGATGTATGTAGTTTATATTTTGTTTCTATTTCAGGTTTAACTCTATTAAGTCTAGCAACATGTGACACAAGTGCAGAACAAAATTATGGCCCTTCAAACCGACCGGAAGCTTTTTTTAATGGTTCATCCTACATTAGGTTACAAACGACGGTTTCTCTAAAGAAAACGATAGGCCTTAGCTTTAGGACATGTATAGGTACGCTTTTTATTCATAAACATAATTAAATATCTAAAATTTTTATTTATGCTAATTTTATTATTTTATTCTTAAGGTGGGGGATTATTTTCACAAAAATACAACGATAATGTCATTGAAGTTAGTGTGAAATCTACTGGTGTGTTTTTTGAGGGCACCACTCAAGGGAATAGCTATGAAACACTAGTCAGTGGGAATTTTTTAAACAACAAATGGCACACTGTTAAATTAAAATATGCTTTGGGTAATTTGACGATAAGTGTAGACGAGGACAATACAAAGGTGAGAAACACTATTTTATTTATTTTTAGCGTTTATTTGCGACTTAGGGTTCAAGACAACCTATAATTGTCGAAATTACCTACACAGCACGACATAGCGTTAATTATCTATTTCCGATACTACATTTTTGTATTTAAATTTTCTTCATGAATTATTGTTAAACGGTTAAGAAAATTCTGGAAATGGCTCAAATAGTTATCATCATTTTTATCAAATGATAACTTAGCATGCATTTTAATTTATAGCAATTTCAGTTAACTTTATGAAAAGATTAATAATGAATAAGTTTTTCCACCTTTTTAAAATAATTGTTTATTATTATTCGTCAAAAGAAGCTGTATCCTATATTCACATTATGTACATTTAAGCTATATAATTATCCAATAGACAGAGCATTAACCCTTCTCNACCATTATATATATATATTGAATATCTAAAGGTTTTTTTATACCTTGGTAGAAAAGTAGTAGCCGGGAAAGAAGATGGAGGGGGTTATATATTTTTTATGGAATGCATTACCATTGTCAGGTATATTTATAGCACAAATCTAAATTGCTTAATACCAATTAGGAAGTACTGTTTGCGTATGTGGCAGGCTTGCAGGTATATATACATCATGCATGTATTAAATTAAAAGTCTCGACATTATAATACGATGCAGGATTACTGATTGCACGACTGATGCATGCGTGACTAAAATACGTCATGTGTCTAAAAATATGGACAACACTTCTACAACTTTTAAATATTATCTACCTGCTGACATACGATTTAAAAAATAACTATAAAAATAAAAAACTACCTCTTTGTTTTAATTGCAGTGTAAATGATTACAATTTCCGGTATAATATTCGGCGGATGTATAAATTCCAACGGTAACATTGTGCAAAAAATGCGAGATGCTATTAGCCTTTTTATTACATCTTATTATTTATTGTAACATATTGTAAATCTATCTTTATTTATGTTGTAGCTAATAGCAAATAGTTCCTATCAGAGCGAGTTATTGACAAGTCCTGGGCTATACTACGAAGGGGCTATATTAATAGTAGGCAATCACTTCAATGGTTGCATTCTAGAAGGACCGTCGATAACATTTCATGATTCCGTATCACAACCACACTATGTACAGTTTGGTACTTGTCCTATACCGTATAACAGTTGTAAGTGTACATTTTTAAAATATAATTATTATTTTTCTCGCCCTATCCCCCCCCCCTACACACCTCCGGAATCCACCACTGGATGTTTTTCAATATTTCGTATTTTGAAAGTAGTTACACTGATAGTAAGGATTGCTCTCTCTTTAATGTAATACTTAAATTAATGGGTGTAATGCTTATTTAGTACCAATGTAAGTATGTAATAACTAGTTTCTGGTAACTTAACAAGTTTGATGCAATCTTATCTAAGAATAATGGAGGTGGAGATTGCGCAGACTCGCTAATGTTAGTTGGATAGTAAATGATACGGTTGGCAAAAGGGACTTTCAGTACTTTACCCTAAAAATAATTTGAGTAGTTGTCTGACATGTCTTGATTATTTCAGGTGTTCCTAGGGAAGATATGAAACTTGGCAGATCATTTGATCAGTGTAATAACGAACCTTGCCTTAGGCAGGGAAAATGTATAAGTAAACCTGGCTCTTATTCTTGCGTTTGTCATGCAAGATACACTGGAAAAAATTGTGAGATAGATTTAGGCAACCCCTGTGAAAAAACACCACCTGTTTGTAATAACGGAGGAAAATGCGAAAATGACAACCTTGGAAATTACGTTTGTAAATGCTTGCCAGGATTTTCTGGTAAGTAACACTTCTCCATTACATTACAACAGTTTATTTAAGAGAGTCTTCCAAATCAATTTTTAGTTGACGTTTGGTGTACACAAGTGTATAGCATGAATGACAACACAATAAAGAAAAAAATAAATAAAGAAGCTATTATTTCCTCCATAAAATATAAAAGTTGAAAATTTTACCTTAGTTTTACTTACATCGCTTGAACATTTCCCGTAATTTTAACGAGATACCTATAAATAACTTTTACTTTTGGAATTTTTAAAATCTTTGAGTTGCCTGTAAAAAATTGTAACAATCCATAAAGAGGGTTTTTAATATCTCAAAAGCAAACAACTATTCACGTAGCATCAACAAAAAGAAATTAGCTGGAAAAAATTAATTTCTATTAAAAGTGTAATAATTGTTTATTATTCAGGTAAACACTGCGACATTGAAGAATCAACCCATCCGCTCTGCGCTTACGTGACGTGTTTAAATGAAGGCACTTGTCATGTGCCACCTGGATCGAATCGGGCCGAATGCGTTTGTCCTTCCGGATTTACCGGAACCAAGTGCGAAAATAACATAAACGACTGTTCACCAAACCCATGTCAGAATAATGGCAAGTGTGTCGATGGTAAGAACAACTTTACATGCGACTGCAGTTACACAGGATACGAAGGACCTTTGTGCGAAAATAACGTCAATGAATGTCGTAACAACCCATGTTTGAACCATGGTACTTGCTTTGATACATACGGGAGCTACATTTGTCAGTGTCTTGAAGGATTCGATGGAAAAAACTGTCAAAATGTAAGTTTACATGGAGCTATTTAATTTTAGTTAGCATTACATCTTTCTGAAAAAAACTGAACATGGAAAAGAGACTAGCAAGAGTGGTCCGTAAGTGGATAAGTACCATCTTGTGGTGGTTTGAGAGACACTTTTAATCCGATTGTTATGCACTTAATTGAGGTTCCATAAAATAATGGAGTACGGTTAAAATAAGGTCTAAATCTAAAAGTGTGAGTTTTTAAGGAACACAATGCCATCTGTGGAGAAACACTTAGTTGTAGTGTGAATGGGATATTTTTACAGTAGAAGCTCGTATGTTTCACTTGTAGTATTTACAGGCAGTCAGACCATTATTCCCAATGTTCATCGTCGTTATCATATTATATTTTATCCGCTACGTACTCTGTTATTGTCACTCGTGCACTTTCACGATCAGTTCTTCTTTACAGGTTGCTCTCGGCAGTTTGCTTTGTCTATTAAGGATTTTTGATAATGTTCTATCTAATTAAATTAATGCCGTCAAAATTACGTTACATAATGCAATAATTTTTGCATTCATTTGTCTTTATCGTCATAAAGACGCCTTAAAAACGTTATGAATAGTAAAAATTTTACTACAAAACCACCGTGCAATCATGTTTCTTTTCCTTTTTATTGAAGAGTATCAACGAATGTTTGTCGTATCCTTGTTTAAACCATGGTCAGTGTTTGGACAAAAGGGGTGGATATGAATGTCAGTGTCTTCCAGGATTCGCTGGGATAAATTGCGAAATGGAGCTGCGCCAATCACGATGTGATACTCATTCGTGTCCAGCCTATGCTGACTGTGTTGAGCTATCAGGCACTTATGTCTGTGTTTGCAAAAAGGAGACGGCAGGTAATTAATATAGTTTAGTAGATTATTTTATTATAATCAGAGAAACAAGATAAACGCTTAATTTTTTATGTTCCCAATACCTAGTTTAATGTAAAACTCTACAATTGTTTGGGCTTATGATGCCTTTCTCAAAAATTTTATAGCGAACTACATACTTACAAATATTAATTATTAACTTAATTAGCATAACAACCCGAATAAGTATCCAACGTTAAGTTGTCCCTAAAATCGACTTGTAAATAGATAATTTTCAGTTTACGTTTAGTGGTTTTCTTGATTTCTAATTATTCTAATAAATTGAATCTTGCTTTTCTTTCTGCGTTCGATAATTTGATATCTGAAACAATTAACAAACTCAACCTCTTGCTCATAAGAGTGGTATTTATAAAATTATTTGTCTAAATAATGTAGATGTCAAATTGGTAGAAAATTAGCAATAAGAGTAAAAGAACATGAAAAAGATATCAAGGATTGTAAGATAGCATGCAAAAAAGTACAGCAAAAGACTCAATTTATTGGATTTAGAAATAGAATCAATTTTTTATGTTTCATACTTTTTTATACCTTTTATGTTAATAATAAAGTTAATGTATATGGTCTTTATCCACCATAGGTTCTCATTCTGACTGTATCGTGGGACTGGGTTGTTTAAACAGTCCTTGTGCTAACGGTGGTTCATGTACTGCGACAAAAACTGGTTTCAACTGCTCCTGTCCTCCAGGTTTCACTGGTATGTTTTCAATTAGTAATTAGTTATAGCATGTTGTAATGTCTTTACTGTTTAATGTGTTTTTGCATCCTTTATCTATTATCTGTTTTCTTTCATGTGGGTTAGAAGAGGTACTGAGAAATTTAGATTTTTTGTTCTATATATGTAAAGTGTTTGAATTTTTAGATTTAATTTTCTAAAAGTAAAATGGAATTTTCATATCTTTTGATTTGTCAGCTGTCATAAAGTGGAAACTTGGCTGGCTTTATATACATACTACTTTACTATAATAGTATACAACTAATCGAAATTATGGCAAAAAATAATTAAGTTCTTTGCCTATAGTTTATCGAAACTACTAAACATGCTTCACTATTTTGATCTTATTAATAATCATCGGCAGGCCATAAATGAAATGACATAATACAGCAAATATCAAGACTAGATATAGGAACAAACACTTAAGGAATTAATATAAAAAGCACCATCACTAATCAAAGATAAGAAACACGTTCTTCAGTTGACAAACACAAAACGTTAACAAAATCTCCTTGCCTACTTAACAAATCAGATGCGCACTGCCTCACTGCGCAACGTACAAACGAGCAGAATTTGGTGACAATCGTACGGATCGCGCCGTACATTAAGCAAGTCATGCAGTTCTTACCCCTATTTCTAATCTTCATAACTGCAGGTAACAACAAATATCGGTAGATGGTGATATACTACTTATAATTTAATAGTGAAATCATGACATAATTAGTTTAGTAAAAATGCATATTTGTTGTATATCAAGCATTTAGTTCTTATTAGAATAAATAAATGGTTGGGTTTCAAACTAACAGACTCAACCATGGGATTGGGCGCATCCATTAATTAAAATGACTCGTATCTTCAGTTGTATAATTTGCTTACTAACATTAAACAAGTTTCCACCTTGACCTATCTTAGGTCTGTTTAAAATTATGTTATCTACATTATAATTGAACTCAGTTCCTCTTCGTTATTGTTCACTTCGATCACGCAATCGTGTTCTAAAACTTTTATTTGTTTTGCTGTTATCGTTATTATCATTGTTTGTTGTTGCTGCTGTGTTGTGTCTCCGTTTATTTTTCTACTTCTCTGTGTTTGTTTCTCTTTTCTTTTCGTGTTTGTGTGTGTCGCTTATGCTCATTGTCGCTTGCATCTTTCTCCTTGCGCGCTGCTCCTGTTGCTGTTGCTGCCGCTATACCTAGGACCTGCATGTGAGCGCATGGATTTCTGTCATCACAGCTATTGCAAAAACGGTGGCACCTGTTACGAAGAGGACACTGATGACGAAGAGAATGAAGAGGAGGACGATGAAGATGATGATGAAGAGGAAGAAAGTAGAAGAATGAGGGCCAGGAACGGCCCAAGTTATTTCTGCGCATGCCCGCAAGAATACACGGGCGAACAATGTGAAAATTTAGTCAGGTGTACCGATTATCCATGTAAAAACGCTGTATCTTGTCAGGATTATGTAAGTATCTTGCCATGTTCTTGCTCTGCTTTGTTTGTTTTATTGACAGTGTCGTTGATGTGCTGATTATCGACAAAATAGGTTGGTATTTACTGAAATGATAATACTTATCGTTAGATCCTTTTATATAAATATTTTTTTCGAAATTTGAATTTTCATACGTTCTGAGACCTTGCTGAAAATATACTGCAAAATGTTTACCCTTTTTTCCAAAACCACTAAGACAAAGTTAAGACAATTGTCTTCAGAATGTAGCAAAGCGATTTCAATGAAACTTTGTAAAAGATAATTCATTTGTTTTAAAAAATAAATTGGGAAACAACGAGGGGTTCTTTCTTTTACAGTATTTTTCATCACATACCAAGTGAAATTTATTTTAATGCTGTTAAAGTACAGTGTTTATTTTAAGATTTTTTGGTATAAAACACGCCACCGAATCCTTTTTGAACTTTTTCATTATATTTGTCATGATACCGAGAATGTGTTCACTTTTCATTCTTTATATTACATTAATTTGAAAATTGTTTTTGTGTCAAATCATGTAAAAGTTAATTATTACTTAAATTACCTATTTCTATTCTCTTAAATATCTTCAAGTTTTTACAGATTTTTTTTATAATAAATAATCTCTCTGTTGTCAGCTGCACTCTTAGTAAAACTTTTTTGGTGTTTACTTTAAGAACCGTTGTATATACATTCATATGAAAAGCATTTANTTAATATTTTATTTATTTAATATCAGTATTGCCTCCCCTTTAAAGATCAAGTAAATAAGTTCTTAAAAAATTAAATATTAAAGATTTTCAAAAAAAAAAGCACACGACCTGTACACACATTCTCTATTTTTATTTAATTTTAGACCAACGGGTACTATTGCAATTGTGAACCTGGATATACAGGTTTGAATTGCGATGAAGAATTGCCTAATTGCAACGATTTTCCCTGTCAAAATGGGGGAACTTGTTTGGAGACAATTGATTATTTCTTGTGTCGCTGTCCGCCAGGATTTACAGGTAATTTACCAAAATTAGTATGAATTTTGACAATAAAACCAACTTTTTATAAAATGTAATCCAGTTTATGTTACAGGTCGTTTTTTCAGGTATCACTTGACGCCTGCACCAGCTTAGCCCACCTATTTATTATTTTTTTTATTTATTTGTTTACTGTCAACTACTAACACTAACAATCACCTTGTATCACACGCCATTATCTTAGTTACCTACTGTTTTTCGGTATCAAACTAACACCTTATTGTAAATTTGAGTAACACCAGTTTTTCTTGGATGTAATCACTAATTTCTTTGTAAGAATGTTCTATTTTTGAACAGGAATGACCATGAAACTTAGAATTTCCATAAACAATTTATTAATACATATACAGTACAATTTTTTTGTGCGCGAAAAAGTTCGAGTAGTTTTTGACTTGATGACACTAGTTTTTTTGTGTTATACTCACAATTTTTTTATTGATGTTGCTTTTCTTTACGTTAAAATAAAATTTTTAGGTACTTGAGATATATCTAACCTTTCTATTTTTAATGTAGATTAATAACAATTTCTTTTGTAAAAAAGGTTTGAGACAATTTAAATTAAATTAAATCATTGCATTAATTGGAGCTTTTTTATTAACAGCAAATTATTTTAAATATTTATTTTCTAAACTTTAAAATAAAATTTGTAACTACATGTAAATGATATTTAGTTAGAGAAACGAAACAATAAAACTAGTTACAATATAAAAAATTTAGGATTTTTTTATGGGCATTCCTGTATGTATATATATTACTTTTTCTAATAACTTACTATATGTGCTTTGTATTTGATTCTCTTTTGTGAAAATTCTAGGTGATCAGTGTCAAGTGGATATAGACGAATGTGCATCTGATCCTTGTATGAACGGTGGCACTTGTATGGATCGCGTGAACGGCTTTTATTGCAACTGCACTGAAAATTGGATGGGACAGTTTTGTGAAAAACCCTTCGACATTTGCGAACTGAAACCTTGTCAAAATAATGGATCCTGCGCCACTACAAAAAATAAACACGAATTTGTATGCACATGTCCAAGAGGTAATTTATACATTCATTAATGATATCGAATATTAAATAAGACAGCGCAACAATTATTAGAAGAAAGGCTTAACACCATCAGAGTTGAATCAAATTATGTCACTGTTTTCTTTAATCCTAATTTATGTCAAAAGCTTACAAGAAAAAAATACAATTGATAAACTTTTCTAATCTTGGTACCTATCTACTTTTTGGTGTAATGAAAGTGGCCATTGAAAATAGCAGTTTAATTAATTTATTAGTCTGTTATACTTTCATTTGTATTCATAGGTTTTGAAGGCAAGAAGTGCGAAATTAATATAGATGATTGTAAAGGGGTGAAATGCCCTCCGGGGACATCCTGTGTCGATCTAATCGGTAATTTCGAGTGCCAGTGTCCTCTAGGATTCACTGGAGAAAACTGTTCTATTGATATCGATCCTTGTATTAGGGGACCGTGTGATAATAACGCCAGGTGTATGAATGACCCCAAAGATAAGAAAGGTTACAAATGTATATGCCCGCAAGGATTTACAGGTAACGTTTAATTTTTAAAAATACCTATTTTTGTATAAAGATACTAAATATGTATGTATATAATTTGTATATTTTTTTTAAACATTGTTACTTTGCCACTACATTTTTTATCAAATTTTGAAAAGGACTGAATATGTTTATTTGTAGGAGAAAATTGTGAAACGATTAATGACGCTTGTGCCTGTGTTCATGGAATTTGCATAAACAATACGGGAAGTTACCAATGTTACTGTGAACCTGGTTATACTGGTGAAAGATGCAATTTGGATTTCGATGAGTGCCTTTCCATGCCCTGTCGTAATAACGCAACATGCGTTGATAAAGTCAATAATTTCGAATGTATCTGTAATCCAGGATATTCAGGTATGTCCTAATCATTAGATGATTGAATACGGCGTTGCGTTGACGTATTTGTCTGCGTGAATTACCAGAACCAGACTGGACCTTTGCCTGTACATTAAAATATCATTTTCTCGAATGTGGTGAACATTTAGCAAGCTCTGCACTTATTTTTAATGATTATATTATTCTTAATTTTTATTTTTTTATTACTCATTATTGAAGTATTGAATAAAACATTATTAATTTAGAATTATCTTACAATATATTTATTTTATTACCTTTTATATAGGAAAAGACTGTTCAATAAATATTAACGAATGTGATCCGATGCCTTGTACCGAAGGCTCAACGTGTATAGATGGAATTAATGCTTTTACATGCATCTGTGTGCCAGGCCTAACTGGGAGAAGATGTGAGATAAATATCGATGATTGCGAGGTAACTGACTGTTTCTGTTGATTTAATAAATTAATCTTACTGAATGTTTTGCTTTCATAGAGTTCTCCTTGCCTTAATGGTGCAAGATGCATTGACGGTTTAAATAGTTACACTTGTGATTGTACAGACACGGGATTCATGGGGGATCATTGTGAAATAAACATCGACGATTGTATAGCAAACCCCTGTGAACATGGTGGCACTTGCGTAGATGAGGTTAAAGACTATAGATGCAATTGCTATCCAGGATATACCGGTAAGAAACAAAATTTAGTATAAATGCGTGTAGTAAAAAATATTTTGTTATTTTGTCCCAATTTTTTGTAAATTATCCATGCTTTTAGGTAATTGTCCTATTTTTAATTTCATACAGGTTTAAGTATTGTGAATTTCGCTTTTTGTTTCTCAGGTAAAAAGTGTGAATTTGACATTAAAGAGTGTGACAGTAACCCTTGCAAGTATCAGGGTACCTGTTTGGAAAAATCGAACATGAATTATTATAAGCCAAGCTTCGTGTCAACCTTGAACATTTCTTTGCCACAGGCATTCGCAAAAACGTTTGACTTTGCTGATGCTGCAGGGTAAGTGCTGAATTATTTTTTCTAATTGATTTGCATATTGAAAATCCCAATGAAGTTACAGCTTAACTTATTTGTTATTTAATATATGTTAAAGGCCTCGAATGTCTTAAAAATAATTAAATTAAAAGTTATAATTCGTTTTTAAAGAAAATATTTACGTGGGTCGTAAATCATATTTTGATTTAAATTCGTGTTAATGATTAAATTAAATATTTATTACAATTGCTAATTCTGAATACAAAAATATTACCAAATATAACTTTTGTCCATATTTGTCCATATTTGTCCATATATTGTTCAAATCGTACGTACGTACACTACAAAACTTATTTCTGAGTCTCGCAAAATCGTCTGGTCTTTGGCAAACTTCATTTTAACAACCCTGTAATACTATTCTGCACTAGCCTATGATACTGACACCTAACCTACTCCTAATGACTTCGATTGTCTACATACATACCTAATAGTAAAAGCTTACAATGTTAACAAAAAGAACTACTCCAGGCTGGTTGTAAACATAAATACCATTAATCTCACTTAATTTAATATAATAAATAACAAACAATACATGATTACAAAAATACAGAAGAAATACAACACGGATGCTGCTGAGTAGCAGTTGATTGAATGCTGCCTTACAATGTCGTATTTCCTAGAGTGATCCTCCTCCTCCTCCTTGCTTTATAGTTTACTATCACCTTTTGCAAGCCTGCTACTTATTTCAGAAACACCCTATATATTTAGTATTTAATGAAACTGTGTATTTTTTTATTAAATATTGTCATTTCAACATCTTATAGGTACGAGTGTCTTTGTGTGCCGGGTGTAACAGGTCGCAATTGCGAAATCAACATTGACGAATGTGATAGCAACCCTTGTGTAAATGGCGTATGTCAAGATCGTATAGGGGGTTATGTATGCGAATGCAACCCCGGTTACGAGGGTGAAATATGTCAGAACGATATAGATGAGTGCGAAAAGTACCATCCTTGTGTACATGGACGTTGTAACGACGGGGTGGCGGAGTACTATTGTGATTGCGAACCGCGATACGGGGGTAAAAACTGTTCTGTAGAATTGATAGGGTGCGTTGAAAACCCTTGCTTAAACAGAGGTACGTGTAAACCGTATTTAGTAAGGGAGAATGAGCACAAGTTCAACTGTTCTTGTCCCAACGGTTTCCATGGACCAACTTGTGAAAATATCACCACTATGTCGGTGTCGGGACAGTCTCTGATGACTGTTAATACCACCAGAGAAGAAGGGTATGATATACAGTTTAGATTCAGAACGACGCTAGGGGATGGACTATTGGCTTTAGGGACCGGACTGACATACCATATCTTGGAATTGTCTAAAGGGAGACTAAATCTTCATTCTAGCTTACTTAATAAGTGGGAAGGTGTTTTTATTGGTTCCAACTTGAACGATAGTAATTGGCAAAAGGTATAAACACCCATTTATGTCGCTACTAAACAGAATGGTACAATCTGTAAATTTTTTTAGGTATTCGTCGCCATCAATTCATCACATTTAGTCCTTTCTGCTAACGAAGAACAAACTATATATCCAATAACGTTCAACGAAAATTACAACAGTTCGTCCACGAGTTTTCCAACCACTTACATAGGAGGTGTCCCCAACTACTTGCGAAAACTGACCCATGGACAACCGCCATTGGTCGGTTGCTTGGAAGATGTTCTTATCAATGGTATATGGGTCTTGCCGGAGATGCAGAACGTTCCTAACATGTCATTTTTGGACGTGGAAGTCGGATGTCACCGGGAACCCCAGTGCAGCCCCAATCCATGCCATTCGGGGGGTCATTGCACAGATAAATGGAGGCACTTTAGTTGTATTTGTGAGAGACCGTATTTAGGACCAACTTGTCAATACAGTGAGTCATTTGATTTGCATTTTATTTCCATTTAGTTGCAGTTGTGTTTGTTACATAACTAGGAAACATTTTTTATACAGACTAGTTTTTGCTTCGACTTCTTGCAAAACATTAAGAAGCCACGAAACGTACAAATTTTGTATATAAATATAATTTTTTTATCATTAGATTATACACCTGCTACGTTTGGCTATGAAAACATTACAAACTCTCTAGTAACCGTGACGGCAAAGGACCAGAATAAAAGATCAATAAGACAAATCGTAGATATCAGTATGTTCATTAGGACTCGTCAGGCTTACGGTCAAATATTCTATTTGGGATCAAATCCTACTAGTAACAACATTAATTTAATGGATGTAACTTACATAGCTGCCCAACTAGACAATGGAGAACTTTTAGTACGAATTCAGTTCAATGGAACTCCCGAAGCTTATACTGTAGGAAGTGTTAAGTTGAATGATGGATATTTACACCTGATCGAAGCAAGTATCAATTAAATATTATAATATAAAGGATAATATGTAATTTGACACATTCCGTTAAAGGAATTAAGAAAAATTTAATTAAGTTGTATCTTAACAAAAAACTGGTAGTTTATAAGTTGTACTGTTTCTAATTTTTTTTATGCAAAATTCCAACTTTCAAAAATATAAAGAATTAAAGGAATGCATCGAATCACGGATCATCCTTATAATGCCCTCTGAAAATCGCATAAAACTGAAAATAATTGCCAGAAATCAAAAGTAACAACAAAATTTTTTTATCACTTAGGTGATCAGAAATGTCACCCTAGTCCAAGTAAAATTGAACGGTACCGAGTACTTTAGAAAAACAATTTCTGCCACCGGTACCTTAGACGCCCCCGTCTTGTACTTGGGAGGTCAGCCTCAATTGCGACCGGTACGTCAAGCTGATACCACTGCAATTATCACCAAAAACGAAATTGGACCAAGTTCAGCAGCAGTCAGTACCCCTCTTAGTATGATTAATTTTAAAGGAATTATACAGGACGTTCAAGTAAGTTTATGAAATAAGTGTAACTTTTTTTGTGTTTATCGACTACAGAACTCTATCATATGCCTGTCTAACACATTTTTGACTATTTTATTTATACAATAGGTGAGTGATGGTCAGAAGACGATGGTGGTGGAATTTTTCCCATTAGACGTTCCCGACATGGAACGACCTCTGGAATTTGGAGAAGTGCATTTTGAGAAATCTCTTGTGCTAGAAGGAGTTTTGTCTGATGATTCATGTCGTATACAACCCTGTAAACATAACGGCACTTGCGTTAACACCTGGAATGACTATAAGTAAGTAATTACTGTTATTAAATAAGTACACAGAAGGGTGTTTAAACATTAACAGATTTTTAAATTTTAAATAATTTTACTAACTAATTTTTGGGTTTTATTGAAACTTATGAATTGTATATATGTTTATTTTGTAAAAATTACATTGTGAAGGTAGCACAAAGGAAGTAATCCTTTGATTATGAAGTATACTACTACTATAATATAATAATACATATTGACTATAAATAAGGACATTTAAAATAGAATTGTGCGGGCTATTTCAAAATTTAATCTATTTGTACATTTTACAAGATCTATCTTTTAATATAAGTTTCTATTTTTAAAATAATAAATTTTCTGGAATGTAGATCGTGAACGACTATTTTCGTTTCGACTCAATATAATTTGAAAATCTCCATAGTAAATGAAAACTGACGTCTATAATTTNTTTAAGTTAAAGTTATAGGGCAGATGAACTCGCTATTAAACGGTACATGATCAAGGACTAACAAAGTAATTAACTCATTGTACAAGTAAAACAATAAATAACTAAATAAAACTCACAATTATTAAAAAAAAACGTTAAGAATTAAAATAATAAATTTTCTGGAATGTAGATCGTGAACGACTATTTTCGTTTCGACTCAATATAATTTGAAAATCTCCATAGTAAATGAAAACTGACGTCTATAATTTTTTGAAATAGATGTGAATGTACCCATGGTTTCAAAGGCAAAGACTGTAACGACCTTGAGTTCTGTGAGTTAGAACACTGTCCGGACGGCTCTACTTGTCGCAACCTTGAAGACGGCCATGAATGTATCGCTAGCGTCACGTTCGATGGTAAAAGCCGGCCTTACCATTACACCTTCTCTCTATCACCCTCGTCATCCCCTTCCTTCCTCTACTTTGAACGTATCGAACTCTCGTATAGGACCCGTTCTTGGGGCACCGCCCTGTTTGTAAAGTACGAAGAAAATTACTTTGTAATATTCGTAAATGCCAATGTAGTTGTTATCCAATGGAATATTAATGGTGATGCAAGAACCAGGAGTTTTGAGCACCAACAGTTCGAAGGACAATGGCTCACGCTATTATTGATAATTAAGGATTCCAGTTTGATAGCCGGATTCAAGGAGCAAGTCATCGATGATACTGCTGCTGTCAGTGCCGATAATTTTAATGCTGAAAACTTTACCGAAATGATGGTAAAGGGCTCGATATACGTCGGGGGAAGTGATAACAAAACTTTCGATTATTGGGGTGTTATTAACATGATAGAAATGAACGGTACGCGTACGAAAGTCACAACCGAAACAACGACCGATTCAATATTTACAAGTAGTGCAATCGATTTGCCTGGAAATGTTGTTACTACAGATGTGCCCTTCTATTCGTACAAGGCTGATATCAATAAAAACACCGACTACTTCAAAGTGAGTAGATTTTTTTAAATTTATTCCTCGTATGGTCGATTCTGCTTTTTTGACCTCTGTTACTACCACTTTTATATATATAGCTTTCCCAAAAGCTTTTTCAAGATGGCTAGACGTAGGAGTAAAAATTGCAAGGCTTGTTTAATGTACGGCATGAGCCGTGAGAGAGCGCCACTAATTTGTTCTCGGTAGTAAAATGCGCAGGAAGGTAGTGCGCATAGGATTTGACTCGTAGACAAGAAGCTTTTACAATAGTACTTCGCCAATAGCTCTTGATGCTACAAATTGACTAAGAATAATAGCAAACAAACACTTGTAGAAGTTTCACAAGGTTCTTACTTAGCCTATGTATATTGCACTTTTCCAAAAACGCTTCTTTTAACTAAATTTTATGGAGAAAAAATAAAGATAAAATAATAGGCGCAGTATAATTTAAACCTTAACTTTATTTACTAAAATCTTCAAATACTTCAAATTTACAGTAATCGTCAAATCCTTTTCTCTTTTAGGGTTGTATGGGTGAGGTTCGCATAGGTCATCTTCTAGTTCCTTTCTTTACTGCTGAAGATCTTTACCAAAATGGTAAGAAACCCGTTGAATATTTCGAATTGGAAAAACGTTGGCTTGAAACGGATTGCAAATTATGTTTTAACACCGACTGTTTCAATGACGGTTACTGCATCGATCCTAAAAAGACATACCAATGTCAATGTCAGCCTGGATTCACAGCCGAAGATTGTTCTGTCGATATTAACGAATGCGAAAGAAACGAATGCCAGAACAATTCCACCTGTCTCGATCTTATCGCCAAATATGAATGCAGCTGTCTGCCTGGATATACAGGACAATTGTAAGTAACATTTTTTCACTTATTGTTCAGATATTATTTAAATTAACTTTCTACAATTTTATATACCTGTGGTATGTTTATAGGCATATTTTTTAATTTATATATTTGATAGGTACCTACTTTTTTTTAATTATTTATGATTAATAAATAAAAATTATTTTTTTACAGTAGTCTTTCCAATCAATTAAATTATTTTATTATATTAACAGTAGTTATATTAATGCATGAATGTCGAAACTGCTAGTATGTTAAAACAATGTACTTTTACATAAACAGTTAACTTTCTAGTACAATAGCAGGAGTATTGTTTCATTTTATTTTATTTTCAAAATAGCTGTGAAATTGACATAGATGAATGTGAGAGTAGCCCATGTCTTCATGGTGGCACCTGTGTTGATATGGTAGCCAATTTTAAGTGCGAATGTCCTGAAGAATATGTTGGTAAACAGTGCGAAGCCCTAAGACTAATAACATGCGAAAACCAACCCTGCAAGGAGGGTGCTACGTGTACCGATGGCAAAAGTAAGTTTCCTTATTTAATACGTGAATATTTTTTTTAGAAGACAAATAATATATAAATTATCTGAATTGGTTTTACGTTAATAGTACACTTATTTCATCTTATTCTTAATTTGCAAATATTTCCTTTCAGAACTAGGTATTTTTTCTTAAAAAATATTTGATACTTATCTCTGAAAAATTTAGCTATTTTCTACCAAACTTGTGCATTATTATTTTAAATAATTATCTTACTATAATTACATTTTTTTATTATTAGAAAATTGTAACTTATTTCAAAAAGAGGATCAGTTATATATGTGTACTATCTTTAAATTTTATGTGTACTGTTAATTATAATTTCAACTATTTATCTTACAGCATTAAAAATTTTAATTTATTTTTATATTTGTCTTTGCAGATTATGACACGGGAAATAATTTTACATGTGTGTGTCCAGAAGGTTATGTGAATCCCCTGTGTGACATGCCCTATTGTATGAAGAAGATGTGCGAGTATGGGTATTGTAATATCACAGGGAAACCCATATGTCAATGTCAAAGGGGATTTGAAGGAGAATACTGCCAGACAAACATAGACGACTGTATTGGACCATCGGGAACCAGCCCTTGTCAAAATGGAGGCGTCTGTATCGATGGCATCAACCGATATGACTGTAATTGTACTGGAACTGGTAAGTGAAAATTATGTAATTTTTTTTGTTTTTCTTTTTTAAAAATGTGTATTTATTTTTCTACTACTTCTAGATTACATATTACATTTTTTCATGTAAATTAATGGNCAGTTTGTATAATATTTAAATTTTTTAATTCATATTTCAAATGGAAGAATTGTCACGAGAACCAGTTGTCTTTTATGTTAAAAACCAAACCATACTATGTATCTTTTTATTGTAGTCGAATTTTTGTTGAAGTTTCTTTTCGACGTGGACTTAATAAATGATAGGCAGATACGTATTTGTATACAATAGAAAGTTTTTATTTTATCTACTTATTTATAAAAGTACATGTCGGTATGAATAGGAATGTATCAAACGAAATGGTGACCAAGAAGATGATATTATATACTTAACTGAATAAACAGTGCTTATTTTACTATTTGTAATTAATATTTAGATTTGTTCTGTTAATGTTCTCTTTATTTCTCGTCAATATTTATATTATGTAATACCGTCTGAAAGTTAACGTGCAATTGTGTGTTAGTGTTGAGTGTGTCCTGTAAAGTAGTTTAATAAAAATATGTAATTCTATAAATTTTAAGAAAAATAAAGACGCAATAGATATTTTTATTCATCAAAAATTGATTATTAATATTAATAAGTTATGAGCGTTATTTAACCATTAATTTAATTCATATTTGTGCACTTATACAAGCACCAGAAACAGTAAAAATGGTACAATAATGTAATAAATAAGCAGCATTTTTTTTTGGTTTGCTGTAAAAAACCCTAATTATTATTTAATTATCCATTCTTCCCCTATATTTCTATTCGGTTTGAAATTGAAGCCACGAAGGGGTTAAATGTTACTTATTTATTTAAGAACAACAATTAATGTTTCACCCAAGTTGTTCCATTTTCTCAAGGCTAGTTTTTTAAGTTAAAGTTATAGGGCAGATGAACTCGCTATTAAACGGTACATGATCAAGGACTAACAAAGTAATTAACTCATTGTACAAGTAAAACAATAAATAACTAAATAAAACTCACAATTATTAAAAAAAAACGTTAAGAATTAAAATAATAAATTAATAAATATTTAAAAACCACTTGGTGACAATCAATTAAAATGCTTTAAGTATTTTGGCGAAACCTTATGTGTTTGTCTTTAAATAAATAAAGAACTGTTAACCCCCTTGTGGTTTTGGTTTCAAACTTAATTATTTCAATTCTGACATACAACAATATCTCTGATAGTTTAAAATATTTAGAAATATGCAAGCATTTTATATGAAAGTCCCTGCTACTATATTTCTACACACCATTTTTTCTAGGGCTGGCAAATATTAGTAACATCATTTTAGTATTTCAATTTTTCATTGTTCTATGTGTAATGGTGTATTTTCAAGGGTATCAGGGTCTTCTTTGTGAATTGGACATTGACGAATGCAGTCTCGGGGAAGATTTGTGTGGGCCAGGAATTTGCGTAAATACACCTGGTAGTTACGTGTGCAATTGTACGGAGGGTCTTTGCGGATATTATTGCAGTTTGATGGACCCATGCGTAGAGAACCCCTGTGAACATGGAACCTGCGTACCCGCGTGCACAAACGTTTCCGACTACAATTGTCGTTGCGAGGAAAATTGGACAGGAAAAAATTGCTCAGAACCTGCGGTGAGTATTACTCAAAATATTGATAATTTTTTGGTACATTAAAAGTAAAAATTGTAATGGCCTCGGCGGTCGTCTTAGTTAGATGATTGGGGCCAGTAGGGGCTCCCACTACCCACAATTATTATTATGAATGTACCGGATGAATACATTTTTTAACAGGCCCAGGTACCTAAGAAAAAATTAATTTAAAATAATGCATTTATTTTGAAAAAATTATTTCGTTACACAAAAAATATTGTGACTCGCTCAAATTTTCACCTCCCAAACTTATTAAAATCTGAACTAGACTTGAATACTAAGCTTTCTTAATAAAATAGCTTTCTCTCTCTAGTATCAAAATAGCATTTTCTTATTTTCTAAAGCTTGTGTCTTAAAAAATGGTTACAATTATTTATTGACTTCAAGTAAGATGAAATTCCTGATGAATACGTTTAAAATCAATTTCACTCAAACAAATAATGAAATATTTGATTCGGTTTTTTTTTTTTATCACAAAAAATGACGAATTGGTAAATAATATATTCGTTTTGTGGTAGATATTGGCAGCAGTTCGAAGTGACGGAGTCAACATTTTATATATTGTGATCCCAATTGTGGTATTAGTGGTTATAGGTATGGTTATAGGTCTTGTAATATTAGTAAATATGGCTCGAAGTAAACGTGCAACTCGAGGCACATATAGTCCGAGTGCCCAGGAATTTTGCAATCCTAGAGTCGAATTAGACCATGTACTTAAGCCCCCGCCCGAAGAAAGACTTATTTAAGTACTTAAATAGCGTTTACATAAGTAACGATAGGAAACTGTTTTATTTTTT